GCCTGAAGAAAATCTGTAGGCAAAGCATTTGAGAAATTGAGGGCCCTTTTAAACTGCAACTGAGTGGAAAGCACCACAGATTATTTGGTGTCATTCAGTCTCCCAGACAGCAGCTCAGACTGGGAAACTCCTTTATGTGTGCTCAACCCACCACGAACAAGTTTGAGTGACTGGATAAATGAATTGATCAAAACAGAAATGTTGTTGATTTCCAGGCAGTTAAATTGTTGTATAAGTGTGGAGAGAATATAAAAGTCATAAATAGAAAAAGGATGCCCTTTATGCTGCAGAAAACAGAGGCAATGCTGCAGCTCAGGATAAGAAAGCGATTTATCTTCTACACAAGTTGTTAAAATATGGGTAGAAGGCAAGAGGTCTTCCTAGAAGAAAGAGACTTAGAAATTAGTTGCCTGCATAGAGAAAACACCTGAAGTGGACAAATTTGTTTATGGCAAGTTTTGAGGGCTGAAAAGGCAATCTTGGAATATTAGTAACAGAAGCTTTATTCCAGAGCTCTTGGGAGTTCTAAAGGCTTGAGCAGACACCCAAGAAAACAAAAAAAAATAAAATCAAACCATTAGTGTGTTTGAGGGGCTGAGAGTCGTCTTGCACTCTCAAAAGCAGCAGCAAAGTACATGTGGTTGTAGGTAGAGACTACAAGCCCTGGCTATGAGCTTAAGTTAGATATAGATTCTTCTTAGAAATGATTTTAAGATGAAAACGTGGATTTCAGCACAGTATTTTTTCTTGTAAATTTACATTTTTCCCAAAGAAAAAAACACAAACAAAATTTTGCTTTTTGTTGCAATGTTTGTTAGAACTATGTTAACAGTCCAGATCCCTCACCTTATCCAATGAAGCTCATACTTTCTCCATGAGTTTATGCTGCCCATGCCACACTGTGGCCAATAGAGTAACATAGTCATGTAGCCTCACCGGACATCTGTGGCTGGCTGTACTCGTGGCATGTGACCTCCACTTGGACATACGCTAAGACGAAAACAAACTGCCCCCAAATTAAAGTGCTCTGACATTTCTCAACTTTTTGTTCTTCAAAAAACACCTGACAGGGCAGGGAATCGGATGTGAGACATTAACATACCTGCAAATGCATACCCTGGGTAAACTGAAAAGTCTTCAGAGGTGAGGATAATAAGTGCATTTCCCCTCCAGATGCATTTTCCCTCTGGAGGGAAGGAGATCAATGGCAGGCCCGTTGGCAAGGTGATCCTTACTGCCACACTTGAGGTAAAGCGGTGCTTTGTTTTGAGGGGGAAGAGACTGGGAAAGCAGACTGAGTTAGCAGGTGATACCAACCATTCAGTGAGCAGATGGCAGGAGGGACTGTGCCACCCCTGCCCTGCTGGTAGGACTCTGCTGAAGTGGGTGCTGCCTTTGGGAAAGGCTGAAGAGGAAGGCAGACCTCAAACTGGGCCGTGAAAAGCTGCTGCTGAGGCATCCAGATGGAGAGTTCAGAAGACCATCAACAAGGAAGCCACCTGGAAGTGGAGCAAAATATTTGTGAATCATTTCTGCAAGGGAAGGTACCTTACTGAATCTAACAAGAACCAGCCAAGGAAGGTGTGAACATTACAGGCTCAAACAACAAGCATAGACTGGCAGGCATGTGGAATAAGAGAATGATTTAGTCCCTTCACATGTGCTTTTACTCTGCAGGAACGTACTGGACTTACGGACACCTCTTTCCATTTCCATTGCTGGTCTAGAAGCATTCTCGGGGGGGAAGAGCCAACTCTCGGTTTTCTTGTTCAGGGCAATCTGTACATTTGCTTGTTATTGCTGCACTGAAACAAGCGTGAAGATGGCTGGGATCTCAGCAGCTTTTTATGTCTTCTCTTCTACTTAACACTTTTGCAAGCAGTCAGCTTTTAAGGAAGCAATCAACTCAGCTACAGCTCACTCCTATCTGGATATTCACATAGTGTTTCCCTGTGCATCGCACACCTACAACTATTAAAAATGATACCAGAGGAAGGAAATTGTAATGGGATAATGAAGTATCTGTCAAATCCCACCATCTCACTGACATTTCCGTAGTAAACCTTGTGTATCTTTTGCATCATCTAAGTAAAGGTGAAGAGGGAACTTGATAAAGCTCACAGAGAGAGGAGAGATTCTGAAAGCGGGAGACAATTTAATTAGTAGGCAAATGAAAGACAAGCTTTAAAAGCTGGAACATGAAACTGCAGCGAGGTCATGAAGGAAGAGTTTAGCGTGCAGAGCTTGTGGGACTAGTGTTTTTTCCGTGAGTGTGCTTCATGGACAAACTGCTTGTGAGCACCCATATTTTACCCTTAAGTGCTCTGTTCTGATTCCTGGCAGTTGGAGGCTGCTACCTCCCAGATCTTGAAAGCTAAGCTGCCATCCCTTGTCAGGCATAACTCCAGCTGGCAGTAGGCATAAAGCAGGCTTTTTAACCACTCAAGACATTGCAGACCTTAGGCAGGGAAGCAGAGGCCATTTCTGGAACATCCCTCTGAGAGAAGTGTTTCATCTCAGAGAGCACTGGGCTCAAAGTAGAAATCATCAAGAGACATCTTTTACACAAGTAGTTGGGCAAAATGTTCAGAAAGATTTATAACTTCTGGAGTCAAAACTTCAGAATCTATTAACTGTGCTGTCAGAGTTATCCTTCACTAACAAGTGTTCATCTATTACTAAAGTGGAGTAAATCACTACACCCAAAGTTCCCCCTTCTGACATCATCTAGGAGGTATTTTGTTCCAGAGCTTTTTCTTGGTTGCCCCTGTTCTTTGTTTCTGAACCAAATTCCTCCAGCTTCCTTACCCACAATTCAGTAGGCAAATGCTTGTCTGACAGGCTTTAGGTCTCAGTTCCACCTCTTAACCTTCTCCATCTTTAAGTCTTTTTAGTGTTCTTCTCATGCTATTCTCTACCACTTCCTCATGTCACCTCCCTAATTTCCTGTCAGCTCCTCAGTGATATAGCCTCTTCCTATCACTTTGCACCCTCCTCCTTTTTCTCCCTCTCCCCTTCACCTTGCATCTGCCCATATTGAAAATACTCCAATTACTACAAAGGCTTCCACCCCCAACCTGCTGGTCTTCTCCAAATCTTTTTCCCTCTGTCTTTTTTTTCTCCTCTCTTCTCTATCTACCCATCTTCCTGGATGTACATATGTGTCCAGCACCATGAACTTCCACCTGTGTGAAATCTGGCATGCCTTCTCCATGAATGCTTGACATGGAAATCCAACTGGCAACACCAGACTGCCAAACCCTAAACTATTTAGAGACCCAGTATAATTTCCAACAGCTGTACAGAAGCAATACCAACAGCAGCATTTCTCCATTCTTCTTTTTTGTTCTTCTTCTGTGGAGTAAGAGCAATAGGGAATCGCAGAAGCATAGCTCCTGCCAGGGCACTGAAGAACATAGTATTGTATTGCTGTCTGCTCTGACCTTTCACTTGCTGTACTTGTTTTGGCTGTGCTGACTACAGTCTCATCAGGGCAGAAGGTTTCTATTAACCTGTGCTAGTTCTGAGTACAGTTGGGATCCCCTGTTTTAACTCCTGGATATCACTATAATAAACCAGGTTATCCAAGCAACTATCAGAAGAATATCAGGAATACAGTTTTCACTTCCTTGTTGACAGACATTAAACTGTCATGAGAGCACTTCCAGATGGTATGTTTCTTGTGATCCCTTTGCCATAGATGCCATTTCTCCTTAATCCTAAAATAAAAATCAAGACATATTTTGAAGCAACTCTGAAGGGAAATAATGAAAAAAAACTCTTTGTTTATGCACATAGCTGTGATAGCATAATAATGTAAATACCATATGAGCTTGAGTAGAATCTCTTGGAAGTCACCTAATTCTACACTGACATCTGCAGTGCCTCCAGGGATGCTTGTACATTCAACTATACTTCCAGAAAATTCTAGTATCACATAGATAGAGAAAAAAACATATCAAGCAGAAGTGTAAATGGAAATGCTTAAAGAGATGCCATGACATAATATCTCAAAATGATGGGTCATTGGATTCAGCAAGCATCGAGGGCTCTCCTAATGTGCCCGTTGTGTATTAAGGAAAATGCATATAACAGTAATACTGTTAGGGAAAATGCAATAGCAATGAGCATGATGACTGGAAAGGGTAGGTGTCTTGATATGAAAGGTACCGGGTCAGATTACACAAGAGAGGAAGATGAATATGACTGCAGGAAAAGGCCCCAAATGAAAGTCTGAAATTTCCCA